ATGTAGAGTAAAACTACTAGGAATAGTAAGAGAGTTACCAAAAGAAACAAGATAGAATTTATGCTTAATGAGGGAGTGATTGAATAGGATACACAGAGAACTCCAGGGTAGCTGTAGGATTCAGTGTCTGTGATAGAGGCATGAGTGTAATTCATTATTTTGTGCCTTATGTCTTATGCACTTTCTTATATATATTTAAACTATGGCCTGGGATGGTAGCTTCCATGTGTAATCCTAATACTCAAGAAGCTGAAGCAAGAGGGTTGCAAGTTGGGGAAGAGACTGGACTATGTAACAAGTCTCAGGCCAGCATGGGCTATAATAAATCATAATAATAAAAATAAAACTATGTGGGCTGGAGAGATGGCTCAGTGGTTAAAAGCACACACTGCTCTTCCCAAGAACCTGAATTCAGTTCCCCAGCAACCGTATCAGGCAACTCACAACCACCTGTAACTCCAGCTCCTGGGGAATCTAAAGTATCTGGCGTCCACTGGCACCTGCATTCACATGCACATACCCATACTTAGACATACACATACACACATAATGAAAAATAGAAGTAACTAAAATATTTAAAAATATATATAAACGTATATCCTTAACAATCATAGTAATAAAAATATTTCTTATGAGGAACAATTAAAGGCACTTGTAAAATTTGATTAGCTATAATCTTACTAATAATTTTAGGATGAGAAGAATTATTAAAATTAGACTGTGAATATGAAGTTTCTAACCTAGAGTTTTACTTTTCTTTCTCTCTGGAAGTTATTAATAATGATGTTATAATCTGTTTGAAATACTAGACTGATGTAAAGACAGCAGTGAATGTTTGCCTTATAGTTTATCATTCTTATTAGAATTTTCATGTTGAAAACCTTCTGTGGCAACTTTCAGAGACAATGCTTATTTGATACTTTCAAATTGTAAGAGCATGTTTATTCTTGTCTTTGTATTAGTATTTAAAAGCCACATATTTGAAAAACAGCTAAAAAGGTCTTCAAAACTGGAGAAGTCATTTGTAAAACTAGCCTGATTCTCAAGAATATAATGACAAAAAAAAAATTAGCAGTGGAAACAGTTTGTTGTTAATATGACTTCCTATTATTTTAGTCAAAATCTTAGCCACGACTCACTCTTAAGCATATTTTTCTTGTTTTGTGTTTCAAGTAAGTTTTTTATTGTTGTTGCTACCATTTGTTTTGTTTTAGGGAGTCATTCTTTTAGTTCTTTAAAGTCCTAAGTTTATTCCAAAGTTTGGCTAATAACTCAGTTAAGTTGAAAATTCCCAGCCAACAAATAATTTTAAGTATAATATGTGCTAAAAGATAAAAGCCTTCTCCACATTTTATAATTTTCTAGAGGAATAGAGAATTCTCATAGGGTATTTATAGAAAGTGGGTTCCAGGCATCTTATAGTCAGTGAGGCTGTCAAGCTATTGTACCCAATGTGTTTTAAGTGTTAGAAGCATTTACTTCTCCTAAAGTAAATTGGTAATTGAAAATTTTGTCATTCAACTTTCATTTCTGCAACTGTAAAAATATTTTAGATAAATTAACCCAGCCTAGTGGCACAGGCTTGTAATCCCAGCTCCATGGGAGTCTGAAGCAAGAGGATCTCAAATTCAGGGGCAACTTGGGCAGGGTAAAGAGATCCTGTCTCAAAATAGAAAAAAGTTAAAAGAGAACGAGGGGTGTAGCTCAGTGGTAGCCCAAGTCTCTGGGTTCAATCCCTAGTGTCCCCCTCCACAATTCTTAGATGCATTGGTCAAAATGCTTAAAACTAAAATTCATTGTTGCTTTTTGATGTCAGATTTTTCATAATAAAGTTGCTGATTGATATCTGAAGTATTTGAAGAAAATATACTCTTTTGCTAATTTAAAGGTATTGCTATTTTAAAAGGCTGCTGGTATTCTGCATTAAATCTTTATAGTAAATCTTAGTTTTTGTTTTCAGGCCAGAGTTACAGCAAGTTACTATTGATGGACTTGATATTCTTATTCCAAAAGATCCAGAGCACTTTCTAGAAGAAATACCACACTCTAGATTTATTGAGTGTAGGTATAAAGAAGCTCGAGCATTCCTTCAGGTCAGACAACCAAATAATATACTTTTTAAGTCAAAGAGATTTTTAGGCTCTTTGGGGGGAGAGAGACTTATGCAAAATACGTGAAACATCTCGTTCAGTTAATCTGTTTTCATTCCACTTATTTTCTTTTGATTTTTTTTACTGAACATTTTTCCCCCCGAGAGCTAGAGATACAGATTAGTTGGTGGAGTGCTTATCTAGCATGCACAGAGCCCTCAGTTTGATCTCCAGCACAACATAAACTGGGCGTGGTGGCACATACCTGTAATCCCAGCACTTCGGAGGTGGAGGCAAGGAGATCAGGATTCAAGGTGATCCTCAACTATTTAATGAGTTTGAGGGCAACCTGGGCTACACAAGACCTTGTCTCTAAAAGGAAAAAAAAAAAATCTCTTGGGAACTATCTGTAATCACAACACTCAGGAGGCATACACACAGTGAAGACAGACTCCACAATAAATATATAATAAACAAAAACCCTTCAATTTCTTCCCTAAATGGGAAATGGATATGTATTTATATTTGAATAGACCCTGATAGGGTCAGCACCTGCCTCTGCCTGTAGTTATGATATCTCATAAAATGTAGTAAAGATGGTGAAGTCTCTTTTTGAAGCAGTCCAAGTAGAATAAAGCTGTTGAAGATGGACCGCGAATTTAGAAAAGACTTCATGAAAAGCAGGAGTTTTTGTTTGTTTGTTTGTTCAGAGGTTTGGCATTGAATATGAATTTGTGTTTGGCAAAGTGTTTTCAACAAATGCTGTACAACAATCCAAGTAAGTTTTCAACTTGTTATTCTGCTGCTCCAGCTTTTCATTCAGTGAGCCTGTACTGAAAACTTGTTTCCTAGGCTTCTGACAGTAAGGATATAAAAATGATTTTGGAGGGCATGGAGGTTCAGCTGTAACACACTATATGAAGCCAGAGAGTCAATGAAAATGGGCAAATGGCAGTAGGGTTTTAGTACTCTGATTCCTTCATTTCCCCTTTATTTCTCAGGCTCTTAATTGGAAAAACTACATTAAAAAAATAAATAAAAAGAATGGGGAAACCAAGTATCAGTTTTATCATTGCTACCCAGTATCCAGGACTCACAAACACAAGGTTTCTCTGATACAGTTTGCTAACACCTCAAGATCTAGGGCTGACAGCCCAAGTGGTCCTTCCTCACGCTCCTTGTTCCTTTGAAGTTATTTTTGTGGGGCTGGCAATTTAACTGAGCTAAATAAATGGATGAGATGCTAGAAAACATCATGTGTGGATAGGCTCATGCTGTAGCAGTTTCTGCCCCCACCACTTAGTAATGCAAAGTAGAAGGGATGGAGCTTGGTGCTTAAGCAATCACACTCTTCCTGCCTGCCAGGAGTTTTCTCTGGTTTCCACTTCTGCCATAGAAATTGACACAGTGAATTGTGACTGTCTCTTATCATCCTAAATTTTGTGAATTTCTTGATAACAGACATCTTAACTGTATTCAAAGCTATAGCCCCAATATCTCTCATGGTACCTGGCACAAAAAGATCCTGTAAATATGGGAAAATGCGTAAAGAATAGGGTGCACATTAAAATCAAATGATTGCTTAAGAGCACTTTCTTGAACTCTCACCTAGCAGAAGTAGGAGCTACCTAGAGAAGCATTTACTCAGGCTCATTTGCCGTTGCTTTTGAGAAAGCAGTATAGATGGAATTTTCATGTCTCAAAATGCTGAGAAATCATGTGGATAATGTGGTGCTTACTAATTCCATATTTAAAAAAATATTTTATTATTTTTATTTTACGTGTATGAGTGTTATGCCTGCATATAGGTAAGTGCACCAGTGTCGTGTGATGCCCGTGGAGGACAGAAGAGGCTGTCAGATCCCCTGGAACTGGAGTTATGGACAGTTGTTAGCTGCCATGTGGGTGCTGGGATTTGAACCCGGGTCTTCTGCAAGAACAGTCAATGTTCTTAACTGCTGAGCCATCTCTCCAGCCCTAATTCCGTATTTTTTACTCTTGGTTTTAAAATGTAAAGGGCAAACAATCAGAATTTGAGTAAAGAATATGAACAAAACAGTGCTAATAAGCTTATAGCCTCATAGTTTTGGTTTGAAAGTATGAAGAAATAGCAAGACTGTGGTGCTCTCTGGAGGCTGATATTCATGACATGATTAGGTGGAACTTTGTAGTCATTTATCATGCTTTTCTGTGACCTTCACTTGCAGCAAGGCCAGTTTGTGGTTCCTAATTTGTTTTCTCTCCTGCTAGTGTATTGGTGTTACTGATCTACAGTGACTAATGGGATTAATAATGTTTTTTATCTTTATCTCCTTAACTGCTTGATTCTTCTTTGTTATGTTAGAGCCATGATTTAAAATACCAGGAGGATCCACTTTTAAATTAAAGTTAACTTACACCTATCTGAACACTTGATGGCGCCAGTCTTTAAAAAAAATACCATTTGAATCTAGCAAGGAACTAATATAATAAACTTTATAAAGCAGTCTCCTAGCCTTCTTGTTTAATAATCATTTCTTAAAAAACAACTTTAGACTTATATAAAAGTTGCACATGCAATACAAATAACACTTTTTTTCTGGCCCATTTGGGGGTAAACTATAAGATAGATGCCTCACAGCCTCAAATAACTTGGTATTTTCTAAAAACCAGAATATTCTTTGTGTTGTAATATAAGATTAAGAAATTAACACATACAATACTGTTTAATCTCCACCAGAACCATGTGTGGTGGCACATGCCTATAATCTCCGTACTTGGGAGGCTAAGGCAGGAAGACTGCACAAGTTCAAGGCCAGCAGTGCTATGTAGCAAGACCCTCTTTCTTTTTGTTTTTTTTAAAAAATAATTTGTTGAGAATTTCATACATACATATAAGGTGTTTTGATCAAATCCATGCCCACTCCGTCCCCTCCAACTCCTCCCCATCACTTTTTTCTGATAACTTCATGTACTCATTCTTCTTTTATTTATTTTTTAATGGAGCTTTTGACTACTCTAACATTACCCCCTCTGAAGAGGTAACCCTAAAATCTTTTAAGGATTAGATAAAAGCTCCCAAATACTTTTGGCACTTTTGACCTTTGGAATGGAGTACATTGCTAAGAGGCCCAAGGAGATTGTGACTTTTAGCCAAAAAACTGGCTACTTTTCTTTGGAGTCTTTTTATCCTAACTGCCTAGCCAATTCCTGCGTCCTATTCTTATCACACCATCCTCTGAAAAGGTTACCCTGCTTGCGGATAGGCAATCGAGACGCAGAGTGCTCTGGCTTCCTCCGTGCTGAACTGGGATGCAAGGTGAGGCAATTGAGGTACCCCTTCAGTGGGTCTATCTAAAAAACTCCCAAATTGCATAACTCTTATTTGTAGGGGGAAAAGAAAGTCTTTGACTGGTGAATAGGAGATGTGAAGGAGAAGTAAAGGCAAGAGTAATTAGCATTACAAGTTCTAGACAGGGAACTAGAAAAAAGTCAGAACAGGGCAATTTTCAAATGTTCATATGAGAGTCTACTGGAATTTCTTGACAAGGGCTTCAAAAGCATCCCTTTATTGGGTTCTTCCTCATTTTTCCTTGAATTTGTTTTTTTGTGTGCTCTGCGTCTGTAAAATGAAACCTCTAATTCTGATGGCAGTCGGGCATACAGAAGCCTTTTGCCACTCACCCCCTCCCCACCCATTTCTGAAGCAGCTCACACTCATTTTCACACATTAGAGAAAGTGGAGGGCAAGTCTCCTTTGATGTGTTCAATTTCCATGTATTTTGAATACTGCAGTGGAGGCAGGTTGACAGAGTTTTCTACTTTTCTTGTTGGATCTAGATCACTGTTTGGGTTTAAAGATAGTGGTATTATATTTTAGAATGTAAGAAAAGGTGTTTAAAGCAAGAGTCATTAAAATGAATTGCCAAAGAGTGTTAAAAAAAAAAAAAAGCCACTCTTTATTTCATCTGTAGCTTCTAACTTGCCAGTCCTCTGTGGTTTTGTTATTCTGATCACTTGGAATGCACCCCCAATTTTGAGTCTCCATTTCTCAATATTTCTAATTCCAACAGGAATCCTAACACAGTATCTCAGGAAATGATTTCTGTCTAGTTTCCTCTGTAGTCAGGTCCTATTCAGTGCACTGCTCTACTCCTTGGCCTCCATTGGACTCTAGAGTGATGGATTCGGGCTTTACTTTCAGGTATTTTGACACCTGTTGGAGTGGTTAGAATCAGTGTCAGTTCCCTCTCAAAGGCTTCTAGATAGGGGGCGAAAACAAATTTATCCATCGTTTAAAAACAATAGCCGGTTGTCTCCCTTAGCTACAGGTGGACACTACAGTATTGCAGACCAAGATTTGAAGTCTTACATCTGAGCAGCACTTTCTGGTTAGGAACAAAATCATCAATGAGAAATAATTGTCTAACTTTTTATATGGACTCAAGCCTAATGTCTAGGAAGTGTAATCCCTTGAACTCTTAAAGAAATACACTGATGACTTTTTTCTTTGGTTATTCTTTCCTTTTGGGTGTTTAATACCATACAGTTGGCCCAAATAAATCAATTTATTTTTACACTTAAGGTCATTTGAAGATCTGTTCCTTGGGGGTCACATGGGCTTGGGAGGAGCCCCTGGCTCCTTTTACCAGTTCCATCTATGTGAAGATAAGTCAAAGGTCCTGCTCAACCATGTCTGGCTTTACTTGGAAGCATGGATGAGATGTTTCCTGAGTTGACCCTCCTCTTTGTAGGCTAGACACTGCTTCAAGTCTGTTTCATGGGGTTTCCATGGCCTCGCTGAACAAGAGGACAGGTGACTCACCACAGTTACAGGACATTTTGAGATATGTACCATAGTCCCCTGGAACTTAATCGACCTTGGAGAGCAAGGGGCAAAAACTGTCCTTTAAGTCCCTCTGACCAGATTAGTATAGTCCTCAAAGTATGGCTGTTAAACATCCAATAAAGTTAGTTCCCCCAGTCTGGTATTTTAATTGCCATGTGCTATGTAGATAAAGCTTGGGTAAAAAAACATATATTCTCAGATAAACCTTGACTAGATAAGATTTTGTTCCCTAAAGTAGTTGACTAAACTATGACCTTATAAATTTTTTTTTTTTTGGTCTTTTTGAGACAAGGTCTCTCTGTAGCCACAGCTGTCCTGGAACTCACTGTGTAGACCAGGTTGGCCTTGAACTCACAGAGATCCACCTGCCTCTGCCTCCCAAGTGCTGGGATTAAAGGCGTGAGCTGGTCACGCCTGGCTGACCTTATAAATTTTAAGATTATGTGTATATTACTTTTGTCTCATCCTTTATATATCATAACAAACCTAAACAGATCTTCATCACTTGCTTAGGCTTTCTCATTTTTTCTATTTTGGAAAATATCTCCATTCCTATATCTTTTTAACATCTTTTACAGTCTCATTTTTTTTCTTTCTTTTTTTAATAATTATGAGACATATAGCATTAACAAATAAATTTTACAGCTGTCGTGAGAATTCTTTTCCTGGGGATACTAAGCAATGCTTATTCCCTTCTAAGGTTCTAGTGTCAAGCCAATGTTTGATTAAAGTTATTTTGTCTTTTTTTTTTTTTTCAAAGTTTAACTGGGGATCCAATGAATTTACTGAGCTTACTTACTGAGATAACTGTGGGGTTGCTGAGGTGTATGTATGACCTGATGGTATGCACACTGGAAAGCCTTTACCCAGCATGGGTCGTGCCTTCTCTTCCTAGCCTTCCCCCAGATTGTATGCTTTAGCCTGCCCCAAATCCAGGAGACCATGTGTGATTAGGGCCAAATTACATACAGTTGGCTGGGAAGAATGTCTGGGTACTCCAGTGAAACAACAAACATCTCTGTTCACATTTTCCTGGTTGTCCTTTATATTTAAAGGATTTAATTTAGAATCACGTGTTATACTGATTTTTCTATTGCTTTGGTCTCCTACAGTTTGGAACAATTTCTCTATTTCCTACTTCCATGACTTTGATACCTTTGATGATTACATGCCAGGTATTCTGTAAAACATCCCTCTGATTTTTCCTCATGTTACATTCAGAGTAAACATCCTTAGGGGGAATAACACAGAGGTGACCCTGTGTTCTCATCATATCCCATAAGGCACTCCCTGACTTTCCCATTCCTGTTTGTTACATGACTTTTCCCTACACGTGAATAAACAGACATTTATCTATTCACCCTAGATAGGACACTGACAACAGACCAAAGAAATGGTTCCGCCCAAGACCAAGTTCATGAAGGCATGTGTTTATTAAGGTTACTTACAGGAGCACAGCTCTTGATGTTCACATCATTCAGTTGATTGATGTCTCATCCACTTCTTCACTTTGTGTCTTGCCATTTTTCCCGTTGTAATTAATAAGTATTTGTTGGAAGTTACTTTATAACTATTTAAATATTACTTTCTCATCAAACTTACCATTTAAGAAAGAAACTCATAGTTTCCTATTTTAATGGTTCCTTTCATCATTTATTTTCAGCTTCATGTAGTTTAAATCTGGCCAATGGAAAACTCTTCACAATAGCTTCTGTGTCTTCTGGTTTGTCTCCATAATTTTTTGAACACTTTCTTGGTTTTTAGCACAGTAAGATATCTTGTGGTTTTCCTGTCCCATCCCTGGAATCAGCCATTTTCTTGGGTTCTTTTAGAAGCCAAGATAGACAGTAGGGGTAGCTATGCCCATTGCTGTTTGGGGTTTTTTTTTTTTTTTTTGGTGGGGGGCTGTACATAGGTTCTCTCAGTTGACAGGGATATAATGTGTATGCCTGTGTGTATTTATTTATTTATCAGTTGCAGTCTGTGAAATCACATCATCTCCAGCCCAATTAAGTTAAAATTTCCAATTAAACAATGTAGTGTTTGTTTGCATATTTGTGACTCCCTTCTCAGTGAGAAACCTGACTCTAATTGTCTGTAATATATATACTTGTTTGTTTAAGCTTCTCCTCTCTAGCCCATCTCCCAACATGGGCTTTCTTGCCCCTGTGTATGTTCTTATCGTTGACGTTGCTCTTCCCTGCTGGGCTGCATCCATGTATAGACACCCTTCTTGCCCTCGCAGCCTCTTCCTCCACATCTGGCCATTCTCTAGGAGGCTCCCCTTATCCTGCTTGACTCTGACTCCATACACTGGGCTCCCTCTCGATACCCAGACATGTGTGCACAATATCCTTGCTCTACCCAACCAATGGCTCTTGTACTGAGTAGTTCAGGAAAGGAGAACTTTTCCTGACTATTCAGTTGCTTTCAGTTATCAACCAAGAAACTCAGAATTAGGATGTTACGCTTTTTTTTTTCTGAACTTGATTTTGTTTCAGACAAAATCAACATAATTAGTTCTGCCCATTTCAATGAAAAGCTAGATATGAATATGGAAATATTTGGACATCTGACTGAGGAATACTTAGCTAGCTCTATTCTCCTAGTTTGCTCTATGTCCTTGGGGAAAACTTTTGGTATTACTTTCCCCATCTTAAAAAAGAATGAGCGCCTTTTTAGGAAAAAAGGTGTGTACACTATGATTTCTAAACACCACAATAAATATATAATGTATGTAAGTTTATACCCACATAGTTTAATACATACAAAGATCATTTCTAAAAAACTGAATTCCTGAGTGTGTCATGTTAGTAAAAAGGTATGAGGCAGCTCACAATCATATGTAACTCCAGTTCCTGGGAATCCAACACCCTCTTCTGGCCTCACTCACATACATGTAGGCAAAACACTTATATACATAAAATAATATAAGTAAAATAAATATTTTTTTAAAAAGAACATGTACCTCTCATTCCAATCATTTGTTGTAAAAGTAGTAATGAGTCTAAGGAAAAGAATTTTTCCACAGAGGATCCTGTATAACTTGTTTTATCCATAGGCAGCTTACCTGCAGGAAGTTCAATTCTTTATAGAAACACTTTCTCTTCAAGACCCCTATAGAAATTCTGGTTCTTATAGTTAACATTACATGTATCCATGAACTCTGTTTTCTTATGATGTATTGTAAAAGGAAAAACTACAAGATATTTTAGGATACTGTAAGAATTCGAGATTTCCTCATTTTGCCCCTCATCAGTACTTGTTGCTTACCTGTCACTTACCAGGCAGCATTTAAAGCTATAGATTCAGTGATGGAGAAACACATACCTGCCCATTAAACCATTTTTACACCCTGCTTAGGAAATAGAAGCAAAACCAACAATTAAAACTAAATGTAAGAATTAGAGTAATACAAGTGGTAACTCTTATAAGCCATTGAGGAACTAGTTATTTCACTTCACTTTCTATATTTAGTAATTGTTGAATTAAGACACTGGGAAAATAAACTGTCTGAGAAAATTGGGGTGCTTCTCAGCACCTGGAACTGAAACCTGAAACTTTTCTTAGTTGAAAACATACCGTGAAAAGAAAACAACCACATGTATAAAGTCACAGAAGCTAGAAAGGCTGTGGTCTATGGGCAAGTTACAGTCTAGTGTTTTTAACAGGACAGGTAAGAAGAGTTAGAGCTGAGGCTAGACTGGTAGTTAGCCACCCAAACACACTGTGATGGTCTGCCAAGCAAACCATTTCTAGTTTGTCTACAGATAGTAAAACATCCCTGACTTACACAGTTTTCTTCAGTTACAGAATAAAACTGAAGAAAAGCAAAATGACTAAAAGACGTTTGTAAAAATTCTTGAATTTTACAAGGCTTTTCCCCCTTTAATCTTCATAGAAGTCCTGAAAAGACAAATTACTGAGTTCTAATTGAGGTGCCAGCTGTAATGAAGCTTGTTTCTTCTGCCGTGCTCTTGCTCATCTGTCAAATGCTGAGACGCTGTGAAGGTGCTGTAGATAATGTGATGTACAAAACAAACGCGCTTCCCTCACAGAGCTTGTATTCTTCTGAAAGGATGTGCCCAACTCAAAAGAAACGGACCTAGATTTGAACACAAATAATGTAACTCAAGAGCTCATCTTTCTAAGTTAGTACTCCATCTGTAAAGACCAGTAGGTGAATGTTTGGTGAAAACACCTTTTAGCTTATTTAGCCCTGTAATTAGCATTCTTTTCCTCCAACTGCCCAACCTCCTGAATTCTGATGTGGAGAAGAAGCTAATAACTGTTTGCCTCATCTTTTGGGGAATCCTACTTACTTAGATTCCTTCCTTTTTAACTGTCCTCTAGATCTACTCTGATTATTTTAATGTGTGAAAAGCAACTTAAAATTTATTGTGTGTGTGTGTGTGTGTGTGTGTGTGTGTGTGTGTGTTTTGCTTCCTTTTAGAGAACGTCTCTTATTTACCTGGATGTGTGTGTGTGTGTGTGTGTGTGTGTGTGTGTAGGCCAGAGGTCAGTGTTGAGTGTTTTCCTCTAATGCACTTCACTTTATTACTTTTAGAATATTTTTATTTAGTCTTTGATGACTTCATACATGTATACAGTATATCTTGATCATATATACTCCCAACTCTTTTCACCCCCCCCAGACCCTCCCTAATACATCCCCTTCCACTTTTATGTCCTTGGCTTATTTTTTATAACCTACTGAGCCTAATTAGTGCTGCCTGCATGCACGTGGGTCATCCACCAGGGCAGGAGCAATTTACCAGTAGCCACACTCCTTCATCTTTTGTGAGATAGGGTCTCTCACTAAACCTAGAGTGTGTCAGTTGGCTAGACTGGCTGTTCGTGGCTGGCCAATGAGCTCCAGGGATCCTCCTGCTTCCACCCTCCCAAGCCCTGGGATAATAGACATGCCCCAGCACACCCAGGTTTTATGAGGATACTGGGGATCCAAACTCAGACCCTCATGCTTGTACAGCAAACACTTTACCCATTGAGTCATCCCTACCTTCCTAAACTTTGATGTTTATAATAGAAAAATGATAGTAGTGTTAATTTCCAAGTTTAATTTAGATGTCAAGGAAGTGTTTCTAGTAGTAGTTCAGAGATTGTTATAATAGATGACTGCTGATTAAATTTGCAGCAGTACCTTGATGATAACACTGTGGAAGCGGTGGCCTTTCGGAAGAGTGCAAAGGAGTTACTGCAGCTAGCAGCCAAAACATTGACGAAATTGGGAGTCCCATTCTGGCTGAGCAGTGGAACTTGTCTAGGTAAAATTCTAATTTACATTTGTCTTGTGATTTCATCCTTTTTGGCTTTAGGAGTGAGTGCTTGAGATGAGGAAACACCAGTATTGGAGGTATATTTATAGGCAGAATGAACATCAGTGTGTGAAGCAAGGATCTATGGATGCTTTAAAGAACTTACAGAAATATAAAATGAAATCTTAGGAAGGTCATTGGTGCTTACCAAAAGTTACAAGTAATGTGTATAAATTTATATCAGAACATGTAATCGTGGTTGATTTCCAAGTAATCCTTAAGTCGGAATTTTTGTTATTTCTATCTCAAAGACTGTTATGACTATAAATTAAAAAACAAATGAAAAATATATTCTCTTATATTGTACCAAAAATTTCTAGTGAGAGGAAGACAGAGATAAAGGCATGTTATGAGATCTTCCATGAACCCTTCCAGGTCATTGGCAGGTCACTGGTTACCCATCACTCACTGCTCACCTAAGATGAGGAAAACACTCTCCTGTGGTCTAAGCAAGCAGCTATTAGCATCTGAGAAAGGCTTCTGGCTCTACATCTGCTGTCAGTATATCAGACTGCTTTGGATTTAGAATTATGAAGATCTTTACGTTTTTTTCTTATTTGTTCCTTCTCAATTATTACTATAGTTGATTACAACTGTATTTGGTTTTTATTCTGACTGTATTTGTAAAAAAGTTAAAAAGGGTAACCATATAATTTATCATTTAGTTCAAGACACTTTGTGATGGAAAGGAAATACTATAAGTAATGGTGGTGCCAGAGGTATAACCTGGGATTCCTAATTATCCTACATACTGGGCTGTGTGAAAGATTACATGGTTAAGCCTGGTGTGGCACCACTAGCACACAGGAGGTAGAAGCAGGAGGATCAAAAGTTCAAGGCCATTTTTGGCCACATAGCAAGTTCAAGGCTAGCTCCGGATACAGGAGATCGTGTCTCAAAAGACAGAAAAGAAAAAGAGTACATGGTAATCTCCTACGTATGTGATTCTTGCTTTAAAGTTTAACTTTTTTTGTGGAATCAAGGTTGTTTTATAGTTTGTTGTCAGGCATGGAGGTGCACACCTTTAATCCCAGCACTTGGGAGGCTTATTTCTATGAAATCGAGGCCAGCCTGGTCTACATAGGGAGTTCCAGGATAGCTGGATAGTTCCAGGAGACTCTGTCTCAAAAAATAAGCACACAAAAAGTTCTTAGTCATTTGTCATGATTGTTTTAAAGTTTTAGCTCCATTGTTTACTTCATTTTAAGGCATTTATAAAATGAAGGGGTTATATTAGATGATACTGTATAAATGATATTTAAGGAGTCCTTCACTTTTAATAGTTTACAGTTGCTTAATAGAATTCCAAATATTATCCAATCACAATGCTTATTGGGCTAACTGTAGAAACAAACTTTAAAAATCATTTGAATGGAACAGTTAGTAGTATACTAGGGAAGAGTCAGGAGTTATTAATAATGTTTGGGTAAAGCTCTTTCAAAACAGTGCTAAAGCACCTAAATGAGATGAAGATGCTCAGTAAACACTGGGAAATGTCTTTCTGGCAGTGTGTTGAAAATCACACTTTAGTCCATCCTTCTTTATGAGACCCATCAGATATGAGCTGTTCAAAGCTGTTAAGTTCTACAAATTACTGACTCAGGAAGGTATATTGAGTAACAGAATTAAATATTTTTAACACATCCTAGAGATAGTCTCAATCACTAAATGTTAATGATTAAACACTGAACAACAAACTTTCAAGTGGATAACCCAATTAACATATTATTAAAGCTACTGATTTATTCAGAAATTGATGTGTCTCATGAAAGCTTTTGAGGAAGCTGAATGGTCAGAACAGGGAAAGAAAGAAGGAGAAAGAGAGATGGACGAGGGGAAAGGAAAAGAAGGTGAAGAAGGGAAGGAGATTGATTCTTCAAGGTAAGTTCTTAGTCAAGTTATTTAGTTTCGGATTTAACTTTTAAGAAATATTGATAAGGCATAATAAATCTAATCCTATGAAATACCCATTATTATAAGGATCATCCATTATATGACTAATTTTTTCCAAATATAAATTTTAAAACATTTTAATCCCCCTCCCCTTTAGGATGGTATCGGCAGTGCGGCATTATTCCTTATAGCAAAGATGTCGACCTAGGAATTTTTATACAAGATTACAAACCTGATATTATATTGGCATTTCAGGATGCAGGACTTCCACTTAAACACAAGTTTGGGAAGGTCAGTAACATCAGCTTACTTTTTTTCTAATTTTTTACTTTATTTTATGTGTATGTGTGTATTGCCTGCATGTAGGTAAGTGCACCCATGTCGTGCAATGCCTGCGGAGGTCAGAAGAGGCTGTCGGGACTGGAGTTACGGACAGTTGTTAGCTGCCATGTGAGTGCTGGGATTTGAACCCAGGTCTTCTGCGAGAACAGTGTTCTTAACTGCTGAGTCATCTTTCCAGCCCCCAGCTTACTTTCTTAATTCGCATCTTAGATGTAAAGTTTACATTGCTTGACTCAGACATAGTTAAGAATATGGTGTACATAATTTTATCACTCAATGCTGATCAGGATGGACTCAGCAGAAGCTTGTTACCACTTAAGATTTCTGTACTATTTAAGGAGAAGCTAGAAGATTTGGCTTTTACTGATAATGATGAGAAAGAAGGATCTTGGATTTCTGAAAAATGAACTTACTGCCATTATATTAGGCAATAATGTGATGTAAAATTAACATAAAAAGCAAAGATCCCACCTACTGTATCTTGTTACTTTTACCCCCAACCCCGATGAGTCATTTATTTCTATGTTTACTTAGTAATAGATGTCATAATATTCATCAACACAAATATCTCATTAATTACCAAAGGGTAGAGATGCAGAGCTGTGTTAAATAGTACTTGAATTTCCTGTTTACCTCACATGTGCTAAGGTGCATAGGGCATTGTGGCCTAGGTGAAATCTTGCCCTAGACTAAATGATTCCTGTGCCCATGATCCTTTGTAATAATTCTGTTCTTAATTTGCTTGTTCCCAAGGAGGTATGATCTTGCAAAGCAAGTAGAAATTGTTTAGTCTCTGGAAAATAATTTCTGCCATTAGAAATAATCATTCTAATTTAAATTCAGTGTTTTCCTGAGGTCAACAGGCTTTAGTCATCCAGCAAACATTTCATTGAGTAGTGTCTGGCATGTGCTCAGTATGTGGAACATAAAGATGGACAAATTATAGATATTCCTCTTTAGAATCTCACTAATTGGGCACAAAAACACCCACATGGATTTATTGTATGATTGTTGTTGAACAATTACACCAAGTTCATTGTGTGCATTATTTTCAAGATGTTTTTATAGGGGAAATGTTCTCTATTTTTTTGTACCTTAATTTTTTTTCTATTTTCATATGTGTATCATATAAAGAATTGTGTCGTGTTCTGGCTGGCATAATACCACTTATTTACTGATTATGGTAAAAGACTATTTCCTGATAGTTGGTCTTGGTTATTAAAGGAAGTGATTTTAATATGCGTCCTTTCCTTCTTTAGTCAGAAAGGACTTTAGCATAAGGTGTTTCCATTTTCTCTGCAGAGCGACAGTGTTAACTACTATAAGTCATTTACTCCTTGTGTTGTCATCAGTTTGAGAAACATTTTTTATGCATTTAAGGAAAACTGAGTGATGGTACACTATTGATACAGCTCCCTTTCACAGGTCCTCCAACTGAAAAAGTGTGTATTGAGTATTAAGTAGACTTGATACTCTATATATGTAAAAAATTTTCTTTTTTTATAAGTTTTAAAATATGCATTTCCATTGTTTCAGTGTGTGAAGGCTTTCATCTTCCCTATAGGTGGAAGACAGCTTGGAACTATCCTTCCAGGGAAAAGATGATGTAAAACTTGACATTTTTTTCTTCTATGAAGAGACTGACCATATGTGGAATGGAGGCACTCAGGCCAAAACAGGAAAAAAATTTAAGTATGAATCAGATAAGTGTTTGTTAAATGGGATATCATAGTAATTTCAGACAGTAAGAATAAGGAAAAGGAAGAAGCCCAGCTAGCATTCATTATTAGCTGATACCTTCTCAGCTTATTCAGAGGCCGGTTTCCTGTGAAGTTCTCACCAGAACTGCCTTTGAAGACAGTTTGTGAGGAGGAAGTGTCCCTCAGCTGGTCAACCAAAGGAGTCATGATCAAAGCCCTTTGAGTCATCAGAAGGAAAAAAAATTCAAAGCAAATGACACAAAACTCCAGCCCATAGCCTAAAGCAAAAACCAGTCTCTTGGAACCCTAGGAATTTAATAGTTTTATGGGAGTGGGCAGGAGTTGGAATGTAGAGGGTATCAAGGTGAATGAAGCTTAAGTGAATAAACTGGAATTGAGTGGGACTGAGTCACCAAATACTTGGCAAGCTTCAGAATGTGCCTTTATACAGACTGAGACCTAATTCTTGAGGAATACTCATTGGACTTAGCAGCTACTATATTTAAACCATGTAAAGAATTTTAAGATGCATCATTAGTTTATGTGCTGCAAACAAAAGAAGGAACATACAACTGCAAGGTACATAATTCACAGAAAGAAAAATTAGGAAGTGTCTCAGTTGATGAAATGTAGTATGTTAGATTGGCACATCTAAATTGGATGTGTGTGTGCTTGCGTGTGTGCATGTATGTGTGTCTGCGTACGCACGCTTGTGTGTAAGCTAGAGGACAGTCTCAGGTGCCATGTCTTAGGAGCTGTCTACCTTGTTTTTTGACATGGGGTCTCTCACTGGCCTGAAGATCACTACGTAGGTGGGCTGGCTAGCCCCAGGGATCCACCCATCAGTACCCTCCCTACGTACACATTAATATTACAAGTGGCCTCCACCATGCCCAGCTTTTTATGTGGGTTGTGGGAATCAGACTCAGGTCCTCATGCTTGTGTGGCAAGCACTTTACTGACTGAGCTATTTCCCTAGCCTGTAAACTCTTGGTAATGCTGCCACAGTTAAACTCTTAGAAAGGCAAAGACAGAAATGACAGGGTAACCTGGCTTTCATTTTTGATGCTAATTGACTTATCTTTAGTTCTAAGAGAAAGAATGGGAATGGGAAGGACATGGGCTTTGGAATGGGGCAGACCTGTAAAACATTGTCTCCCCCCAGTGATGTGCGCTCTTCAGCTTTGCTGAATGTTAAGTGCTACATCTTAGTTTTAAATATTTACTGTATCAAGCGCTATTGAGAACATTTTGCATGTGTTAACTCATCTGATTCTCACAATAACTTTGGAGGGTAGATACTTTGTGAAGTGAGAGAACTTAAATGTTGTTTGTTCAAGATCACACAACATACAAGTAACTGTATGATTAGATAGCCTTGTCTATAGTTTGTACCTTTAGCCACTATTCCACACTGCCTCCCTAATTACACTTGACATTATGAAGCTTTTAGCTAGTGCTTAACATAAGTTAACAGCATGTAGAGGGTAGTTACTGATATTATTATCTAATGATATTAATATTACTACTATGATTGCTGTCATTGCTGCCATTGGTAGTCATGTGACCAGTAGCATGAATTTGAGTCATTAAGCATAAAGGAGAATATTCTATATGCATAGACGAGGAATTCCAGACTCATAATGGTTTTTCTTGGGTTCATTCCACCCCACTAGGGTCTGTGAATCTTTATCTGAAGGTAAGGCGTCACCTTGTAAAGTAAATTCGTTTTGGAGATTTGAGAGTAATACAAACCCTTTTCTTAACATCATGAAGTATCCCCAGATTGACACTGATCCTAGAGCATATTCTTTAAAAATTTTTATTATTTATAAAAATTACTTTGCTTTATGACAAATTCTGCTGAGTAATCTTTGATTATAATATATGATATAAGAAATATATAATATAATATATAAAATCTTATAACAAGTTAAGATAGAAATTTTTTTTTAATGGGCCGGTGAGATGACTTAGCAGGTAAGAGTGCTTGCTGACAACCATAATGACCTGACTTTGATCCCTGGGACCTGTATGGTACAAGGAGAGAACTGACTCCTGCAAGTTATCTGACCATCACCCTTTCTCTCTCTCTCTCTCTCTCTCTCTCTCTCTCTCTCTCTCTCTCTCTCTTAAATAAAATGTAATTTGAAAAATTTTAAAGATGCTTAGAAATAAGTAAATTAATGACTATATAATTAGCATTTATTGCAACTAGCTGAATGGGGGATAAGTGTTTTGGACATTTATCAAATGCTTGCTTGTTCAAAATATGATATGCCATTTGTGTATAACAAGAAGGATTTTTTTGAACTATAAAAATAACCTAACATAGAAATTAAGGTCATAGAACCAGCTTTTAAATCCTAGCTCTACATTTGGTGATCAGTGTTACCTTTAGCAAGTAATTTAGCCCCTTTATGTAAAGTTTCTCAACCTCAAAATGGAAATAATAGAAATTACTGTCTTAGTTTGTTCTTCATTGCTGTGACAAAACACTCTGACCAATACCAGCTTGGGGAGGAAAGGGTTTATTCAGCTTACATCTCCC